GGCCCTTTGGCCTCGTGCCGCGCTCTGCCAATTTACAGCTTCCCCGTCTGCATTCTCCCATTTGGTATTTTATATAAAACCTCCCAGGAGGGGCTCGGGGTTTCCCGGTTGCCTGCATCCCGCCGGATGCTTCCCCTGCCTTTCTCCTCCCAGTGCGATTTCCTGACCCTTTACCTGCTGCAGGGCTCGTTTTCCTGCTCCGAGGGGGAAAGGGGTCCATGAAAGGGCATGTGCTGCTGTGAAGGGGTTGTGTTTGGACACGGAGCGTGGCGGTCGGGCATCTTCCAAGCAAAACGGTCCTGGGGTTTTGGTCGTGCTCGGGTGCGATGGACTTTTGGGGGTAGGGGAAGAGCAGAGGCAGCGTTTCCACCAAAGAGCGATGGTCCTGTGTTCTCGGTCCCTGTCCCGGAAAGGAGAAGCTGCTGCTAAACTAAAAACACCAGATATCTCCTTCCCCCGGCTCTGGAGCAATTCCTAATTTGTGTTTGAACCCAGCAGGGTCAGTTCTGCGTCTCTGGAGAGGGTAGTGACCCACGGGCTGCCGTTTGGAGCCCATCTTGCCTGGCCTCTGGGCAGCACAGCCAGGTCAGCCGTGCGGTGGCTTCGGCTGGGTAAAAATCACACCGGAGGAGGACGGTGTCCCCTTCCCATGGCACAGGGCTGGCCAGGCTGGCCGTCACACCGGCTACTCGCCCTCCTTGCCAGGACAGGCACTGTGGGATGGCTCCGGCCGCCCTCCTCAGCAGCTCTTCTTTGTAAGTGAAGCCTTTCACTTGGTTTTTTTGCTGTTACATACATTTTTCTGGGGGCTAAACTTAGCCTGTGAAATCCCTCCTAAGGCTCTTGGGGGAATGAAACCCAGCGCTGCCTGAACATGCCTGCTAGTTTTTCCTTGGAGGGAGGTTTGTGATTGCTCCAAAGCCATGTTGCTCCTGCCCGTCTCCTGGGAAAGACCCGAAGCCCCATTTGCACCCGGAGCCACGGCTGCCCCGCAGCGGGGGCCAGAGCAAAGCGCAGAAATGCCGCAGTGAGCAGAGCGGGGATAATCCGTCCTCCAAACCCGAGCAAGGGCATTCCTCTAATTCGCCAGCACAGACAGGTTAAGTCCTGGCTTTCCTGCCCGCCGCACGGCAAGGCACTTACGTTGATGGAGGAGCTTGTACGCAGGGTAGGGGAGACGCTGCTGGGATGTGACAGTAAATGCCCTTGACCCCGGCTCTGCGTGTCCCTGCGCTGCTTTCCTGCCCTCTGCCCCTTCAGGGTCTGTGTTTTGGCTGCCTTGGGCAGGTTGGGAGGGAGCTGCTGGCCACCGGCATCTCCCTGTCCTCTGAGCCCGCGTGCGAATGAGAGCTCTTCGCTGTGGCCACGGTTTCAGCAGCAAGGGCTCCTTCCCCCGTCCACCAGCTCTCCCAGCTCTGCTGATCCAGCCTCCTGCAAGCGTCTGAGGGCTGGGCAGGCTCCAAACAACCAAAGCCATGGCTTACATTTAATTTTAACGGTTTAATTTAATAACAGGGAAGCAGGATTGGATTGCTGGTTCTCAGGGGACCGAACCCTTAATGAACGGTGGCTGCTCAGCACAAGCACGTGCAGGGGATGTGTACAGGGAGCAGACGCGGGCTCTAGGAGCAGCGCTTGCCCTTGAATGGTCGTTATCAAAATGCCAAGTGGCTCCGAGCCCCGTGTGCGAAAGAGAAGCTCAGTCCCTTAACTTTGGACTGTAGGTGTGTGTTAAAGTCTCCACTTCCAAGATCTCTGCAGCCTTGGCCGGGGTCCAGGCTGGCAACGGGTCAAAAGCACTATGGAGTTTGTTGTAGTAAAGTCCCTTCCAGGCCAGGGAGGGGACAAACGGTGACGGGACCAGATCGTGGCGTGCAGTTTCCCTCGGGGACGAGCAAGCGCCTGCGCTCCACGACAGACTCTGCCACGCGCCGTGGCTCGGCACGGCTGTGCGAGCAGCGTGTTGAGCACCTCGGTGGTCCGGTGTGTGGAGGGTCGTACTGGAATTAATTGGGGGTGGTTGTTATGCCCAACTGGAGGGTCCCAGCACGCGCCTCTTCTACTGGGATGAGAAACCTGCTCAGCGGACCAAGCCAGGGTCTCTCCTCGCCATCTCGGTGTCGGCAGGTACGTGACCGTCCTCTCTCTCCCCCGTGGCAGGTTCTGTGGTGTTCCTGGGGCTGTACCTCGTGTTCGGCTATGGCGCCTCGCTGCTCTGCAACCTCATCGGCTTCGTCTACCCCGCATACGTCTCGTAAGTACCAATGTTCCGCCCAGCCTCCTTGCAGCATCTGGAGAGCGTTCCCTACCCTTAGCTGAGAGTCTCCCTCTCCCCCTCGTGGTAAACGAACAGGCGGTTATGGTCAGGAAGCTCTTGAGACCTTCCTGAAAACACTGGGACCTGGCACAGTCCCAGCTTGGGGCGGCAGCACCCGGTAGGCAGGTTTGCTCCACGGTTTGGAGGGCTTGGGAAGGAGGTGCCCACCCTGGCAGCAGAGCTGCAGCGGCAGCGCCCTTCCCCTCTCCTGCCGCAGCATCAAAGCCATCGAGAGCTCCAGCAAGGAGGATGACACCACGTGGCTGACGTACTGGGTGGTGTACGGCGTCTTCAGCGTAGCTGAGTTCTTCTCCGACACCTTCCTCTACTGGTTCCCATTCTACTACGCTGGGAAGGTAACGGCTTTGTTGGGGGCTGCCGGGGCCGGAGCCCTCTTGCCTGCTGGCTGAACCTGGAGGATCTGCTGTGTGAGCAGGGTGGTGGTGGTGGCCGGGGGGGGGCCACAGTCCATCGTGGAGCTCCCTGCAGTCAGCTGAGGTCCCGGTACCTCCAGCGAGCTCCAGCCTTGGGGAGCTGCCTTTGGGCCAGGCTGGGGGGGACTGGAGCAGCTCAGCTGCCGCCGTGTTGCTGCCCCACTTCTGGGGGCTGCCTCGCTCGGCCCCTGCCTGCCCTGCCATCCTTCCAGCGCTGGAGCAGCTCTCCTCCCCACAGTGCCTGTTCCTGCTGTGGTGCATGGCCCCCGTGTCCTGGAATGGGTCGCAGGTGCTGTACCAGAACGTCATCCGGCCCTGCTTCCTCAGGCACCACCAGACCGAGGACGACGTGCTGGGCAGCCTCAGCACCAAAGCCCTGGATGCGGCCTCCAGTGTCACCCGAGAAGGTAACGCGGGTCCCCCGGTCATAGAATCATCGAATCGTTTAGGTTGGAAAAGACCTTTAAGATCATCCAGTCCAACCATTGACCTAACAGTACCAAGGTCCCCGCTGTCCTGCTCCGTGTCCAGGGCAGCTGGTTTTCCCTGGAGCATGGCCTGGCTCTGGGACACGGGCAGCTCTCATTTTAAGTACTGGCAAGCGGCTGTCTCTCCGTGACC